GGTACTGTATTGTATATTGGAGAAGCGTCTATCGACATGCATTTGTTCACATTTTCAGAGTGACGTAGATCAAGTTCAGTATTCAAGCAATTCAACGGAGGTGAAGAGTTTCGTGGGTGGAAAGAGTCAAAATGGTGGGTCTCATACACCTGCTGCTTCAGATCATAGACAAGGTCTTAGGAGGTCTTTTAGCCAAAATCCAATCAAATACCATGATGGCTACTCTGTAAGTCTAGATATACTATGTTTTTGACTTATGAAATATAAAGATTTTACATATATCTAGTTTAACTCCATGTGCTGAAAATGTTCTAGTTTCCTTAACTGATGGGGAGAGATTTCTTCGGTATGTTACAGAGCCAGTCTTCTGCAGTCACAGATGATGAAGGAAAGGATTCCAGCTCGAGCAAGCATGGAACTGAGAGGATAATTCGAACAGTATATGCCCAAAATAAGGTTTGTGGGTATTCAACTAACAATAATCTTTAAACCGAGAGAATCTGAGTATATAAGAATTTAGAATGATTGATTAGAGATGATGACAGTATTTGAACAAGACCCTAAGACTGTTGATCAATGTATACCTACCTTCCTTTGAAACATGCGTCTACGAATACTATCTTAATGAACAATGTTAATACAGGCGACGCCAAAGAAAAGAGAATCTTTGGGAAACTCTGATTATGGTTCCCAGCGGAAATCCCATGACGATCACCATGTCTCCACAGTTAAGAAAAGTTATGCAACAATATTGCAAGAGGTATAACTTCTTTGTCCGTATGTTTGGTAGTTTCTTCCAATAAGGAATCAGTGATCAAATATGCAACACCTCTTTTCCCCTTGAAATGGCAGTCTGAGGAGCGCAAGCGAGATTTGCTGGCTGAGATTATGTTGGAGGAGGAGCGTGGTAGAGAGATCTCTTTGAGCTTGAAAGAATTACTCACTGAAAATAGTTCTGAAGCTAACGAGAAGACTTCACGGATGCGAAAGGTGAGTATTCCATTTACACATATAATGCGTTTGTTCATTAGGTTTTGTCTTTTCATTAAAGGATACAATCTTTTTCTTTTGACAGAGGAGCAAGGACCGGAGCAGTAGGATGTCCATGTGTTTGACAGATGAAGCAGAGCAATTCATCGATGAATTCATTTCAAACATAGAAGACACAGACTTTTCATCATTTGAGGATGAGAGGAGTGAAAGTAGTTCAAGTTTCGGGTTGATAAAAACACTAAGCTCTCAAAGCGCCTCTGCACCGAAGAGTGTTCCTGTTGAAATGGACGGTGTTATGCTTCCTTGGTTGCAATGGGAAACTCCGGACGACACTTCTGTTGCACTGGCATGCCTAAACAAGTCACCACACACTCCAAATACGAAACCTTTTGTCTGGGAGTCGGATCCAATTCAGGTAATATTGTTTTTTGCACTGACCATACTGCTTATGGGTCTAAAACTATCGCTGGAATAGATACATGACTCTGGTTTGTATTTGCTCTCACATGAATGTGTCCTGATAGGATGCATCGAGTGGGCAAGGGTCGAGCATGGGTACCATAAGTAGCAGAGGGAGCTGGAGCCCATATGAGTCAGCCACAAAGCTTGTGAATCCCATAAGAAGACTAAAGATAGATGTGGGTGAGTATCTGAAGCGACCTAACAGCTCAGATATTCTAAACGAAACGTGGAAGCTAAGGCACAGAATCAGTTCGGGAAGTCTTGTGCTATGTAGCCGCTCATTGATCTAAAGGTTTCGATGACCACAATGAGTTTTAGGTTTTTGTTTTCTTTGGACCGCAAAGACATGTCCTTGTACAGTTTACTTTATGGTCTTTGTTCAAGTCTCATTAGTCAACTCAAGCGTCTTAACGGCAAATATGCACAGATCTATTTACAATAACTCGAACTCTGGCAAAGCCCGTACTTTGGGGGTTTATTTTTTTGTAGCAGAAGGTTAGTGGGGAGAAAGGAAAACAAAGTAATTGAAGTAGAGAGATGCCTTGTTGGCAATAATGTGAGCACACTGATGATTTCCTTGTCTTGATAGAGTTGCAAAGAGCCGAGCCTATGTCACATGTGAGGGCTATTTATTAGCCAAGGTCAGGGCGTTTGGTTCTATAACTATCTGCATCAAAAGTCTTGAAATCATTCACTGGGAGAGATTACATATATTGTTTCTTGTTTTGTTTAACGATGCTTGACAAAAAGTGGAATCAAAACGCGAGTGGAAAGGGAAATGTCAAGGGGCAAAACGTGTGTTGTGAAATTGGCGGAGGAGGAGCACTAGTTAGAAAGTAGAAGGAATCTGTTGATCGCAGAGATGAGGTGTTTCAGATGCTTCTACACCAGACCCCACTCTCT